TGAGTTCAATTCCCGGCAACCACATGGTGGCTCACAGTCATCTGTAATGAGGTCTGCTGCCCTCTTCTGGCCTGCAGACATACAGACAGAATATTGTATACATAATAAATAAATATTTTTTTAAAAAAAGGGGGGCTGGTGAGATGGCTCAGCGGTTAAGAGCATTGCCTGCTCTTCCAAAGGTCCTGAGTTCAATTCCCAGCAACCACATGGTGGCTCACAACCATCTGTAATGAGGTCTAGTGCCCTCTTCTGGCCTTCAGGCATACATGCAGATAGGATATTGTATACTAAGTAAAATAAATATTTAAAAAAAAAAAGAAATACAATCGTTTAAAAAAAAAAACTGTCTTTAGCTCCCGTCCTAGGGGGTTGAACGCCCTCTTCTGGCTTCTCTAGGTACTGGTTTTGTGGTGGACTCATCCGTGAAACAAAACACTCACTATCCACATAAACATAACTTAAATGTGAAGAGGTATGGGGGCTGCTGGAAATGTTATCAGTAGTGGAGTAGGGGAGGCCCTGAGTTCAGTCCTCAGTTCTAGAGCAAGCGGAATCTTCTAGCAGCTCAGCATCCTCGGTGGCTGGAAAGGAAGTTAGAGGAAATTAATTCACCGGAAGAGTAACTAGGCGCCTACCATATAGCATATTTGGGATGTTACTATTCCTCTAGCATTTCCAGCAAAGCAGACTGGCTCCAGTGTGAACTGTCTTCTAGCAGCTTAGGGTTGCAAAGGGAGCACAGAGCAGTCTCCAGGCTGTTAGGACGCCAGAGAGGACACGGAAATGCTGATTTGCTAACTGGTTCTCTGGTGTCTCAGAAGATGTTGCTAACCAGCACTCCCACACCCTGGGGAAAACGGGCCCTTAGGAAGCTTTTGTTCAAACTCTCTGGGGGCCTCCTAGAGTAAATACCTACACTTGTGGACACAGATATACACATGAACACAATTTTAAATGATAATTAAATCTTAAAATCTCCTAGACTAGATGTGCACACTTTTAATGCCAGCACTTGGGAGGCAGGAGCAGGTAGGTGGCAGGTAGATCTCTGTGAGGCTTTGAGATAAGGTAGACCGTTTAGCAGGCCTGGTGACTCCTGAGAAGAAGATAGGATTGCAACTCAGAGCCTGCCAGACTCGGGGGAGGGAGGGGAGGAGATGGGGTAAAATCAGTGGAAGAAAATACGGGCAGTCTCGTAACTCGTTTGTTTTCAAGGTTGGGGTCACTGTCAACATCTCCAAAGGTAGGTTTGCTCCGTTTTCCATTCC